CCCCAAAACCCCAAAACCCCAAAACCCCAAAACCCCAAAACCCCTCTGGAAGCCAGGAAAGTTGAAGGTAATTATCTTCTCTTTCTGGAAAACGGTTTATAAATTTTAGCCTCTCCTTTGAAAATGTCATATGAATCTGGAGATGGCACAAACTTCTTTACCTTTGCAGCTACATCAGAGAAGGTAGGGATCTTGGTAGGCTTCCCAAACCCTGGCTTCCTTGTGATTATCTGGGTCTTCTTAAAGGCTTCTAGGGGCTCATAACTTCAAGGACTCAGGCCTGGCTTCTTTTCGATTTTAACTGATCTTTCAGCTTTAGAAAGTTTAAAAAGTGTATATCTGGGTTTTTCCTCAATCAGTTTGAAATTAGCATCATGGCATAGTGGAGTCGCTTTGCCTTTATATTGCGCTTCATTGATGAATCCTAGTTGTCTATCTGAGTTCTTATGCTTCCCTTGATGGTTCCGTGGCTTAAAATCTAGCCGATAAGTTCCTGGCCCAGGTGTGGAAGCCCCCTTTTTAAGTATTTCTTCAGCAATTGTGAGTCTAGGAAGTTTACTAAATTTCCTTTTCTCTGGGTTTTGCATGTTAAGATCACCAGTCACATTATATTTATCAGGAGAAGGTACGTATTTCTTTATCTTGCAGACTTCATCTAAGAAGTGATCCTTCTTTCCAGGTAGAAACTTTGAATTTAGAACTCTCTCATTGTAGTACTGAGTATTTGGCATTTTGTAGAAACTAAACCCAAAACTAGGCTTATTTATTGACTAACGATTTCCTCTTTAATTTCGTTATGGAAGCCCTTCTAGGAGATGAATTTAGAGATGCTCTGTTCATTCCGACCGATTGATGAGAACTGTCAAGGTAACTTCTGTGCATATCATATGAGTTTTCAGCAATACTTCTATTAAGACCTTGAGTAATGGTTTGCCTTGGAGATCTTCTTTGGGAATTCAAAATCCTTGGAGACTGACTACTCCTATCAGTCGCTTGGCTTGCGTTAAAACTTCTATCAAAAACCAAACCTTTAGGGCTGAGATGGAAGGAATGGCGGACAATGCTCTTTTTCTTAGACTTTGTAGTAAGGCGAGGGCTCTGCTGAGTAGAGCACTCTTTCCTGCCTATACTCCTATTCAAGGACATAACTATTTATTTAAAGGAGACGTATGAATATTATTTCGTATAAAATAGAATTAAGGGGTTTTGGGGTTTTGGGGTTTTGGGGTTTTGGGG